AGCTACTAGGGGCTCCCGGCCTTACTACTAGGAGCAAGGTCGCTACTAGGGGCTCCTGGCATCGCTACTAGGAGCATTTTTACTGCCAGTAACAAGAAAGTGATTTTCTTGTTCTTTTCCTGAGTCTCAAGCTTGCAAGAGCCGGGCCACCACGGCGCGGCGGCCCATGTGGGCTGCAATGTGAAGAGGGGTCCAACCAGCAACCTGACGACAAACAAGCGAAACAACTCCTTTTTTCAGCCGGTGGGGTAGGCCGCTAGTAGAGGTGAGGTAGGAGCTAGGTAGCTAGTAGATTACTTAAGCTACTAGTATGGACGCAGGATAGCTCAAGCTATTCATCTGGCTGCTGGATCTTAAGGGAAACTTAACTCTTGCCTACAACTCCTTTCTTGGGGGCATAGAGCATTTTGAAGGTTCACCCCTTTACCTGCGGTCCCAGAAGCGAAACGATATCAAACACAAACCCGAACTCAGATTCTCTTCCAAAAAGGACAATTCAGATTTTTCAGGAAACACTGTTTCTTCAAGAGTGTCCTGCCACCTTTGAAGCGGCTCAGTCCAGCAGCATAGTTCAAGCATGTTCAAGCTACTTGTTCATGTCGAAGCCAGTTAAACGATGCAGACAGACTCTGAAAACGTATGGACCTTCGGATCGTCCAAAAATCTCACAGATCACTTACTCAGAGATAAATCTGTCAAATGAAAGAGAATGTTAGAAGGCAAGGACCCTTTTCCCATATGACACAAATTTGATTTGTAGGTTTATGGCTCAAATATCTGGGCCACTCCAGCGGCCTCCGAAAATGCACCAGCAGCGTGTTCTACACTCAAAAACAAGTAGCATCGGGCTTATTCAGCAGCGCCGTCTGCTTGATGAACTGTTTCCTGCCAATTACCCGCTCAAAGTCATTTGGACTTAAATGCAATGCCGCAGGAAAGTGCACTGTGCAACTCTAAGACTCACACACCACGGCTAAAGAACCAGAGCGGCAAGCCTGGCCATCGATCAAGGACAAGTTTGTGTGTGTGCATGCCAGGCATTCTCGGAACAACACACATGATCGAAAAACAACGCAGTAGCAAACGTAGGAGGTACACTCTGACAAGGAAAGTTTTCTTCCAAGGACCATTTTCTACTTCCATGTTAGTGAGTCAGAGTCAGAGTGTACAAGAAACGATGAAGTAACAAACGATGAAGGCACCAAAAAGAAGTATTGGCAACGGCACTCAGGTCCAGGCAGCATGAAGGACAGTGGTGCCATTGTTGTCGGCAGCTTCCGGACGAGCTCCCAAAAGTAGCAACCTGAGGCAAGGTGGATACAAAGGGGTTCCCCCCGTTTGCTATCGATCAGAGGAAGTCTTCATAATCTTAACCAGAAGTGAAAGATTAGGGACCTCGCCATCGCACCACTGTCAATGCAGAGGATGCTGCAAAGCACAGCAAATCTCTGTCCTAGTCTATGGCTTTACGCGATCTTTGCAGGTTGCAGAATGCATTCACACGACACAGCCTCTCCACCAAAAACAACTTCGGATGTGCGCTGCAATGGCTATGCTCCGCACCACGTCGCTCACATGAAGGGTCTCTTGTAGGATTCGCCCTACAGGCTCTCCATTGGCCTAAAGGGACAACTGGAAAACATAATTGATATTCAAAGGTCCAAAAAGGATTGGAAAAACAAAAAATGCAAAAAAGAACGCATGTTGCTGTCCTGTTCTGCTCCTGTGACAATAGCGCATTGCAAACGGTTGGGCTCTGAGTAGCGCACCAAACCTTGTCCCCAATCCAAAACACTAAGGCTCTCAAAGCCTACCAGGCCTGGCTGCTTTGAGACAGGTTTGGAGGCTTGTTTTCAAAAACGATGGAGGCTCCGCAAAAAAAACGAGACTTTGTTCGTCCGAGGTCTGAGACGAAAGACCATTCTGTAGCTATGGACAAATAACCAGCATCGCTACTAGTAACAAGGGCATTACTAGTAACAAGAAGCTACTAGGGGCTCCTGGCCTTACTACTAGGAGCAAGGACGCTACTAGTAGCTCCTGGCATTACTACTAGTAACAAGAAACTACTAGGGGCTCCTGGCATCGCTCCTGCCTATGGACTCTTCTTCGCATTCGGCACCGAGTTGATGGCAGCAGTGCGGACCTGAGCTCAGTCAGAGAGGCTGAGGGAAAAACACATTGCGTAGCACAGCATAGCACAGCGTAGCTCAGCTTTGGGCTGCACCGCAGCACAAGTGCTGCTCCCATGTCGTTGATCGCAACATTGGAACAAAACGCGGTGAAATTGATGGGAGCAATGTGGGAGCTGACAGTAGGAGTATCCAGTAAACATGCTCAACGGGCAAAGACTTCTCTGTTGCTGATTGAACAAACTCCTGTCTTGGCAAAGGTGGACTTTCCAGCGGTAATGAGCAAATCAATACTGTCCGCTGTGTTGGGGTCAGTGCTGCTTCACTCGTGCAGTGCAGTGACAAGGAGGTCTTCTCTGAAAGCAAAGGAAAGCACAGTTGCCAAAACTACAATATCAAGCATGTCTTCTCAAAAAGGAAAAAACGACAATTTCATCTCAGTAAGATTTGGGACACTTAACTTCTGTCCAGCACCTTCAAATAAAAGCAGCATCGGCTGCACCTCAAGTGCTTGCTTGGCACTCAACATGTTTCCCAAAAAATGTAGGAACCACATGACCATGAATAGTCGGAACCACATGACCATGAATAGTCCGAACGGTTTCGACTTTCGTGATCTTTCATGCGTCCGGAGCCTAGTAGGTACCTATTGTTTAATAGTTTCTTACCCGTTACTACTACTAGCTACTTAGCCTAATTAGGGGTCTACCCATCCCTTAAAAAACAAAACATTTAACGTGTTCAATTCCGCTTCCGCTTAGCTCACTTAGACCGATGCTTCCCTGATGCATGCAGGGCTGATCCGATGGACGGCAGCGCGGTGACGGCCTTGCTTCAAAAACGAGTCGCAAATGTAAAGAAGAAATGTTGTTTGTATTTTTCCGTTTTTCCTTCCTTCCGTTCTTCCATTCTATCATTCATGGGTTCATTGTGTCCGTTTTTTTCCTCGTTTCCTTCTTTTTCGTTCTTCCTTTTTTTTCCTTTTTGCCTTTCTTTAGTTTTTTTGTTTCGAGTTGATCTGATTTTTTCAGTTTTTGTTTTTCCGTTCCTCCCTTTTTTTCCTCTCTTCCGTTCTCCCGTTTTTTCTTTCTGCATTTGTTCATTTCTTCCATTTTCGTGTGTCTTTTTCTTTCTTCCGTTCCCTTCCTTTTTTTCCTTTCTTCCGTTCTTTTTTTCTTTCTTCCGAACTTGTTTTTTTACCTTTTTTTCCGTTCTTTCTTTGTTCCTTTCTTCTGTATCTGCTTTCTTTCTTTCTTCCGTTTTTTTTATCTTCCTTTCTCTTTCTTCCTTTCTTCCTTTTTTCTTTTCCTTTCTGCATTTCTTACTTTCCTTCTTGCTTTCTTCCTTTTTTCAAACCTTCCTTTCTTCCTTTCCTCCCTTCTTCCGATCTTGATTTTTTCCTTTCTTTCTTCTGTTCTTCCTTTCTGTCTTTCCTTCTTTCTTCCTTTTCCTTTCCTTCTCTTCCTTCCTTCCATTCCTTCTTTCTTCCTGTCTTCCGTTCTTCCTTCTTCCTTTCTTCCGTTCTTCTTTCTTTCTTTCCTTCCTTCCTTCCGTCCTTCCTTTCTTCCGTTCTTCCTCTCGTTCTCTCTTTCTGTCCTCCTTCCTTGAGCATCGAAGTCAGAAAAATGTCCGACAGCCACAAGCCCCAAAGGCAGAGCCTAAAAGGTAAAAGAAAAAACAAGAATTGTGTTGGAAATCAAACGACACACCCCGGGTCCCCGCCAACCTTTTCGATCCGTAACGTTTCGTCCCATTCGCAACCTAAGAGCGCCTGCCTCGTAGATCCGCAAGAGGTGCACCGGTGCCCCCCCAGTCCACGCACTTGGCTTGCCAGCGTTGGATTCGTTTGGGCTTAGCTCTCGCTAGCTGAACCACCCGCGTTCCACCCCACCTTGCCACGGACAATGGATTGGGCGTGATTTAGAAAATTGCAATTTCATCAACTTGTGGCTTGGATGGCCATCTGAGAGGGCAAACAACTCCGGCTACCTGGTCTCTGCTGCCCTACCGGCCGACTCTGCGATGCTCATCGTTGTTCAAGACGCAGTTTTGAACTTAACCTTTGGTGAGACGAGAGAAACGCAACGCTGACCCGGCCCAAGTTAAGAACCACCTAGCCCCACGTATAGGAACAGACCCCCTGCAGGGCCCCTGCATAGTGGGCGCAACTCCCCCGCCGGGTAAGCTGGATAGAAGGTGAGGCGAAAGCCCACGCCGTCTCCTCCACTCACACAAATGTCGCTCACCTTCCATGGCGGGGCATTGCTGCGCGCACAGAAAGATGGAAACACAAACCCCTCACATAGTTGGTGACAGTGACGAGGCCTTCATCCAAATTGAGCGTTTTAATTTCTGTTGGTAGTTGAACAAGTTTCCACGTCGGAATCAATTCCAGTCAGCCATCTCTCCACGCCGGACTGCCGCCGACTTTCATGATCAAGAGGGTCCGTTAATGTCTCCGGCTGTGGATGTTTGCGCAAACTATTAAACACAACCTGTGCCTGGGACGGTGAAGGAGAACCAGCTCGCACCATCCCTGGGGGCTGACACCACGGTCGCAGGGAGTTGGGGAAAGGACGTATCAAGAAAGAGCCCAGCAGTGGATGTTTGCGCCGGAGGAGATGAAGGGATGTCCGCTCACGCGTGAACACGATGTCCTTTCACAGCTATTTCACGCTCATTCACGTTCATTCATTCACGTCTTTTCGCGCGCCCTACAGTTTTGTCTAAAGGGCCCATTTCTTGCAGGATCTCCGTCGCCAACACACTTGTCAGGAAACCTTGAACCGCCCATCGAGCGAAGAGCTTGCGCCAGGGCGAAAGCCCACCATCGCAGGTCCTTCTAGATTCGATTGGCTCCAAGAGATTTTGAACGACCTGATGAAAGCAGACGTTCCAATCAAGTGTATACATAGAGACGACCAGAAGCTCTTTTTTTGCGCAGTTTGTCGATTGCCTTTGCGTAGCAAGTCTGCCCAGCCGTTCACTCCTTCGAAAAGCACATGAATTGGAAGAAGGTGACTCTTCCTAACCCTTTCTTTCTGCGAGTCAAGAACCAGTCCGCACAAAACAAGAAGTGTACCAAGCACTCTTGAAGGTCCCCTTTTCGAAACCAGCCATTAACTTGGCAACGTTTGGCTCAAGAGAAGGTCCGAGTGAATTGCACTCACATGGGTTATGAGCCCAAAGAGATAGGAAAGACCACCCCGTTTGTTCGGGTTGATGGCCGCCATGGACAGACGGCGATCGGCATCGAAGGCGCGAAGACAAAGCGCGGATGAGCAGCTGGAAGAAATGCTGCAAGAGCATCGGGCGAAGTCTGCCCCACCCAGGAGATCGCAATCTCTGGAGCCGAGCACGAGCCTGACCCCAGCGCTGAAGCGGACCGCGGCGACGCCATAGCAGACCCCGGCCCTGCAGAGACCTCAGGAGACGGTGCAGGCGCATTGCCGCTGGATCTAATCTACTTCCTCTTCCTCGTGGAGCGGAAGGGGAGCCTGGTGGTGGCTTTGGAACAGGTGCAGCTGCCCTACTTCATCAAGCCAGAGAAGCCTTTGGTGGATTGAGCTTCTTGTCTGCACCTTTCCCATAAAAATGCCTTGGGGAGTGGAATCCATGCCCAACTACCGGTTCTTCCGCAACGTGGAGATCTTGGCGGTCCTCATGGTGGTGGTGCTCTACCCGCAGGTCAAGTCCAAGTTGAAGGAGCACTACAAGCGGGACCAGGTCAACGACCAGGAGCTGGACCACATGGAGAACCAGTTCAGGGTGCAAGTGGGAGTCTGCCAGGGCTCAGTCAAGCTCACATTTCACCGGTCAACCCATGGACAGCTGCCAAAATTGCAAGAACAACAAGCCGTTGTGGCTGGCAGCGTTGGACCTACGGAGCAGGTGGAACTATTTCGTCTTCAATGTCTTCGCGAGGCGGAGCAGCGGTTCGCGGAGGGTAGGACCTCATCGAACGCCTCTTTCAAGTCCGTTCCAGAGGGCTCAGGTGTTGGTGGACAACCTGGTGATGGTGGCAGTGGGCAACCCGCTGGACAAGGACATCATCTTCAAGGTGGTCAAGGCCTACAACCGGGCGCTGGCACGCAACCTATGTCGTCTTCGGTGTCTTCGGGGACTACGAATGGTCAGAACCCTGGCATGCAAGGAGCCGGGACTACGACGAATGGTCAACATCCTAGCGCGCAAGGAGCTGGGATGGGGACGAGGTCCCCATGCTTTCCTTGGCCCTACCCTGCTGGCATGGGATCAGGGGGTGGAGGTGGTGGAGCTGCTAGACCTCCTCGTGGTGGTGGACCTGGCAGTGGTGCTGTTCCTGGCTCCGAAGAGTGCATGAACGAGAGCCTTCGCAACGTGGAGTTGCCGGTCTTGCCACTGGACGCCAACTCGTTGACCTTCGGCGACTGGCTGGTGGTGGGCAGCAACAATAAAAGGGGTCGAGGAGCACTATGCGGCGTGGTTGTCCTCTGAACCTCTCCAACGGCTCAGGCTGGATCCAGGAACCTCTACGGCGGCAACCAAGTGGCCGAGGACGGAGAGGAGAATGACCAGTTTGCTGCTGCAGGCGGTGCCTGAAGTGATTCGGTCGGAAGCAGTGGCGGCGAGGAAGTTGAGTGCTTCGCATCTGCTGTTTTTACGTTGTTTGTGAGGTTTCAACCTGGAGGGCAAAGCGAAAGGATGAACCTCATCCGTTACCTGACGGACCTGAAGACTTCTGGAACAATGACGGAAGTCGCTTCAAAACTGAGGCAATGGCGTCGGTGGTGGAACAGGGCACAAGAGCTGGCGGTGATGTTGCCGGACCCGGTGATTCTCGCGGGCGTCCTGACCAAGACCTCGGACTACATCGCCAAGACGGGCGCTCAAGCGGCATACAGGCTTGCTGCGTGTCGTCAACAGTTAAACATTGACACCCGACCTACGACGGACGCGATCAAGACCTTTGCGGAGCTGTTGCAGGCCGAGAGTGAAGAGTTGGCTCATGGTGCCAATGGTGCAGGAACTACGAAAACGGCTCCTGCTGTGAAATCTATGACCTTGACTTCAACGACGGCAACCACAACTACGAATAGTGGAAGTGGGCCGGAGGCCAAGGGTGGTGCTGGAGAAGGCCGGCACGTCGTTTTTGGTTGAGTGAAAAGGGATGTCGCAGGGGTGATCGCTGCAAGTTCAAGCACTCCCTGTTGAACCCCAAGGACAACAGATGCTTTCATTGCTCAGGTCTCAACCACACTCGTAAAGACTGTCCTCACATCGTCAAAACCAAGGAGGTGAATGAGGAGAGCACGAAGGTGGCCAAGGTGAAGGGCGGTGACAGCAAGCCATCTACCCGGAACGGGTGGGGGGCCAAAACAAAAACAAATGGCTCTGGACGGGGAGATCGAGAAGGCCGAGCTAGTGACGGTGGAGCTGGCGCATGGTCAGATCCAGCTGCATCAGGATCCAACAACTGGAACTCTCTTGTCGCAGCAGCCGGTAGAACCTATATATAGTCCCGGTTCGGGGGCTGGTGGATCTGGGCTACAAGATGACATGGTCCAGGTCTGGTTGTACTGCTGAACACCCGAGAAGGGGAAAGATCGTGTTGCACCCTTCGGGATGGATGCCCTGTGGTTCCGGAGAAGGACGCCTCGCTGCTCATTCATGAGATTGAGGCCGCGGAGCGTCGCAAATACCTGGACATCGAGCAGGAGGACAACCTGGACCCCGAGGTGATGAGTCCTGAGGTGCCTCGACGAATCTTCAAGTACATGGCGGAGGAGCACGACCTGACCAAGGGGACGTTGCCATGGAACCGCAGGACCAGGAGAAGGTTGTTGAGAGCGAAAAGGTGACCCTGCACCTATTTGCTGGTGAATGTGCTCAAGAATGGTTGGAGCTACAGGATCATGGATGTGAAGTCATTGCGTTGGATGTGATGCATGGAAAGGACCAAGACATCCACAACCCGGCGCTGTGGGCATTCTTGGTCTCCTTAGCGAA